CCAATGCAGCTCGCGCAAAAGCGGCGTGACGTGGGAGCGACGAGTCCCTCCCAACACCGCCCGCGCGGCCGCATTTTGAACTAGCTGGAGCCTCCGGGTGCTCCTCAAGGGAAGCCCCATGTAGAGAGCATTGCAGTAGTCCAGGCGGGAGGTCACAAGGGCATGAGTGACCGTGCGTAAGGCGTCCCGGTCCAGAAACTTCCTTGCGTGCCTTTTCTATGTTTATCTCATCACCAGGACCTATACGGGACATATTATCCATAGACTAAAACAGGGATCCCCAATCCCTGGACTGCGACCCATTCCCGGGCCATGTCGATTCGCAACCGGACCACACAAGCAGTGAGCCTGTGTGCACACAGGCACTTGACTTGCATGAGCGGTGGGCTGGCATGCGTGCACGCATGTGTGCAGCTGAATTTGTGCAAGTCAAGCTGGGCACGCATGTGTGCCAGCCTGCTGCTCACGCAAGTCGAGCTACGAGCGTGCACGATGGCCCGCCACTCACACAGCCCAGTTCACCTCTCTCCCCCTCCGTCAGGATGCCAAACTGCAAAGGTTGGGGACCGCTGGACTAAAAGAAATAATAGACATTAATACTGGTGTTTAATTATTTCACTTTTCGATTAAGAGATGTCTCCTATTGAAAGTTTGTTGAAAAGAGGGCTGCAGTTTGAACGAATGAATGTTCATGCTGCTACTGTAAAGCTATAAGTTTAAGGTAGAGGTTCAGGATTACATTACATTACCCAAGTAATGTAACCCATGATCAAATCAGGGAATAAATAAAAAGCTTACATTACATTACCCAAAGAGTAAAGAAAGACCACAAGAACTTGATTTTAAAGGGAGAACTAACTCTTACACATGCAAATGTCTCCCAAGAGAAGGGAGATCAAGCAAGGTAAGTAAAACCATATGTTGGGTAAATGAACATAAAAAAGAAATAGGCAACATGTATTATAGCACCACCATTTTGGCTGTTTTGTTAATAATAAATATTTAGAATATTTCAGAGAAATAAAACCAGGAAGGTACCACAAGGCTAATACTTTTCAGAAAACTGAAAACTTTATATTCTCTCTCTCTCTGTCTTATCCCTTCCAGATAACACGTTCAACATTTTGACCAAACGCAACGGATTCAGCCGGCAGAAACAAGAAGTCTATTTTTTACCCATCATCATCAGTGACAGTGGGAATCCTCCAATGAGTAGCACTAGTACTCTTACCATCAAGGTCTGTGGCTGCAGCAATGATGGCATTGCCCAGTCCTGCAATGCTGAAGCTTATGTCCTCCCTATTGGTCTCAGCATGGGTGCTTTAATAGCAATTCTGGCCTGCATCATTTTGCTTTTAGGTACGTATGAATATATTGCTGAGAAAGACACAGTGATTAGGTTGTTCAACTGGGATGATGGGGATCTGCATGGAAATCCATTTTTGGCCATAGAAGTTCATATGGTGACTTGGGTCTGGCCTCTCTTTGGGTGTTCCCACTTCGAAAATGATTCAGAAGAAAGACATCTCACTTATGTTCCCTAAACCATGCACATCTTTTTCAGGTTTCTGCATGAGCTTTAAAAATGTCTCACAACTCATTAACTGAATCCTTGGAGTGAGACTCTTAAAGCAGCCACATCTTTTCTTCAAGCTCTCAAGCTGTATCTCTTTTAATGAAAGCAGAGGGGTGCTGTGGTTAGACTTATGTGAGATTCAAAGTATTTCCTCAAAATCATATTCAGATCCCTACCATACCAAAGGCTAATTAATGATAGAAGAAGAAGAAAAAGTCGACAGAAGGAAATGTATACTGCCTTGATTATCTGGATCAGAGAGATACAAATCTCATGAATAAAAAAATGCACTTCTCAGGAAGAACTTCTGGGAAAGAAATCTTGAGTATAGATTGATTCAACCTAACCCCTGCTGTTTTTTTATATGCCAGTTCAAGTCATTCATTCATTTAATTTCTTCCAATTATGTCCACTTTTCCGTCAGTGGCGACCCAGATGCCTAGCAGCATTAATACAAATTTAACCCAATGCGAGAGATGCAAAGAACATAAAATAGTCATATAAAAAAACAAGTGAAACATTCTTGAAAATGAGTCAACAGTCCATTAAAATATATTTATCAGACAAACTCTTAGGCTTAAATACTAGTCTCTGTCTAATTTCAAAACATCTTCAGTATAAATGAAGTAAAAAGAGAAAAAGAAGAAGACCGGAGTCTGTAGGTGCAGAGCTTAAAAACAGAACTAAAGTAATGATACCATAAAGTTAAAATCCTAGAATTCCCCAGTCAGCAGGAGGCCATTGCTAAGAACTCTGGGAACTGAAGTTCATACATCTGGAGAGAATCCAAGTTGGGGAAAGCTGATTTAGCAGATAGGTGAATACTGGTCTTTTTCATTCTTTACCCTCCATGTATGATTTTTTTAAAATAAAAACACACATTTTGTAGTTTATAAGTTCCCTGGCTCTCATATTTCAAGCAGACTTTTGCAGAGCAGGACTTGTAGGGACCAACAGAAGCTCAGAAATAAATTTGGTTTAAAATATGAAGGAAATATATTGAAAAAGCATTCTTAGTAATGATGGAAATAAATCTACGCTAACAGAAACCAGGTAAAAAGTGTTAGTGTCCTCCAGGTATTTTAAGCACCAACTCTCAAAAGCTCCAAGTGGCATAGAAATAATTAGAACTTATAATTAAAATAATTAGAACTAATAATAATTAAATCAGAACTTCGTGATGGCCAAAGGCCACTCTTGATACAGTGGGATAGAATTGTGACATAAAATGGATGTAGCTGCCTTCCCGTGTTAAAGTTTGTGAGATGGACTACAATTTCTTGGAGTTTGTAAAGAGAGTGTGGGATTTATTCCTCTGGATGTATTGCATCACAATTTCTATGTGTAATAGAGAAAATAGCTTCAGGTTGGGCCATTGATTTCAGCAATTGTGGTTGAAGGGCTATAGTAAGTTTTAAAGAAGTACAAGTATAAACCTAAATCTTATGAAGGAAAGTTAAAGTGAAAACCTGAAGAATTATCATCCTCTCCAGAATATAGGATGTAGAGTGATCAGAGGCAAATTCCAGAGGATCACGTATAAACTTAAGTCCTATGAAGAGAAGTTAAAGAAGAATCCTGAAGAACGTTCAGCCTTTCCAGAATGTAGAATGTAGGCTGATCCAGAGGAAAGCAAAGGTTAGGAGAGAGGAGTAAGAGGTATTTACAGAGGAACCAATTATTTAGAGCGGGAAAAAGCTCATTTTCACTTGATGGATTCAAATGGAGGGTCAATAGTTCTCTGCTCGGGGTGTTTTAATTTCTTCTCGCTTCTGTTATTTATGATTCCAGACCTTGTATTAGGAGCTGTCGGCTGGGCTCACCATTTTGTGATATTTCCTTTGCAGTCATTGTGGTGCTTTTTGTAACGTTACGGAGACATAAGAATGAGCCTCTGATTATCAAAGACGATGAAGACGTGAGAGAAAACATCATCCGATACGATGACGAAGGGGGCGGCGAAGAGGACACCGAAGCGTTCGATATCGCGACGCTGCAGAACCCAGACGGAATAAATGGATTTTTACCCCGTAAGGATATTAAACCTGATCTTCAATTTATGCCCAGGCAGGGCCTGGCACCAGTCCCTAATGGGGTTGACGTTGATGAATTCATCAACGTTAGACTCCACGAGGCTGATAATGACCCCACAGCTCCTCCGTATGACTCAATTCAGATATATGGTTATGAGGGAAGAGGATCGGTGGCTGGTTCCTTAAGTTCTTTAGAGTCATCAACTTCAGACTCAGATCAGAATTTTGACTACCTCAGTGAATGGGGACCCCGTTTTAAAAGACTTGGGGAATTATATTCACTGGGGGAAAGTGACAAAGAAACTTGACAGTGGATTACAAATGTTCACTTTTTTTTCCCAGTCTTGACTTAAAACTCTCGTGTAATATTCTAGGGCCACCACAGTTCATTATGACTAATGTGGCTTTTTGTTTAGGGGCGACTTTAGCACCAGTCATCTTTTAAAATCAACTACATCGTAATGTTGAACCAAAAAAAAAAAGTACATAAATAAAAAAATATATATGTTAGGAGGTCTGAGTCTCGTGGAGTGTGGCGTTAAGTATGTAGAGTGTCTAGAAGTCTTTGGATATTCTATATTCACATGACCACTCTGAAGATGGGGTTTAGAGCTTGATCGTCTTTGGCAACGGGAACCAGTAATGCAATGGAGAAGGTCTTTCCCTTCCTAATGGACTTCTGTAGGACTTTTTTTTTGGTAAAGAAGATTATCTTCTGAGAGTCCATTAAGAACAAAGGATTTATCTCCCCACTGCCCACCAAGATTCCACAAGGGAAAACGAAAAAAAACAAACCATAAAAAATTAAAGCAATATCTGTCGTCTTTCCAATGCTGATTTTTTTTCTTTTCTTAAAGACAGGATTGATAAAAAAAAAACCCTCTTGGCCTCAACTGTGCAGTGACTCAAAGTTGTACATAGGATAATTATTGTTGGCTGCAAAAAAACCACCACAGACTGAACAATAACATCTTTAAATATTGTGTCAAGCCTTAAAATATTCACATGTTCTTAATCCATTCCAGGGACAGGATTCAAAATCCACAGTTGTGGGGAGGAAATCTGACAATATGGATTATTTTCTAGAAGGATTGATTCTTCTTTGACTTTCATAAGGAAAAAAAAAAGGAGAAGAATCAATGAAGGAGGATGGACTCACACATATGAAATTGAAGCTGGTTTTATTGCTAAAGAATGCATTTATTTGTTTAATCCTTGAAATAAATATTTTATTGATGTCCATTACTGCTTTTATTTATTAAGGTTGGGTTTTGGAAGTGTATAAGGGAAAAAAAAGAACCATCTAAAGTATTGTATTCAGTCCCACTGATAAAAGTTTTAGAATGGTTTCTTCTATATATAGTGAATGTTAATTGAAACATGCTTTTTTTTTAAAAAAAAAAAAAACAACCCACAAGGATTGTTAGCTGTAGAGGAGTAAAAAATGAATGCTAGCGAGTGAAAAAATGTCCCTAGAGGAAATTAACTTTGGATGTTTTTCTATTTATACCATAAACCTACTATGTTCAGTACAAGCACAAACATCTGGAAGTAAACCAGTTCATGTGAATATTAAAACAAGAACAACAACAAAAGTCTCTACATTTTAAAAATTCCACACAAAATACCATAAGGTTTTTCTGCTGTGCTAGAAAAAGATCCAGTGTGTGTGTGTATATATATATATATATATATTTTCTGCTAATGTTCTTAGCATTTATTTCTTTTCTTCCTTAGAATATTCATAGTTCTGTATGGAAATCTTGTTCAGAGACACCCACCTATGGAAGCTGTCAGCATCCTCAATTTGTAATGGAAACTTATCATTTAGAAGTAGCGTCTGTATAATAAAATTAAATGGTATATAAAAATCATTTTACTTTTTTTCCCTATTTCTGTTTGGAAGCTTTCTTTTTTAAAAAAAATAAATAAATCTCAATGTATTGTATTCAGAAAAAAAGAAAGGGGAAAAAAAACAAAGCAAAATACCTGTATTGTTTCCTACTTTGTGGAAATATATATATATTTTTATAAATACCTTCTTTGTGATCACGGTTTCTTTTGGTGTTACCTGCATCTTGCAGAGAGTTGCAATTTCTTTTGAAGTCTTTTAAGGAATCAGTACTTTATGTGGATGTCAGCCAATATATGAATATCCTGGCCTGCAAATAGAAGTAGAATGACTGTGACAAAAGAAACCAAAGGGAGAATTTGAATACCAGCTGCATTGACAAAATCACCATCAGTCAATTGCAAAAGGCAGCTTTACTTGGAATACCTTACATCTTGTGACAATACCTTTAAGGTTATTACACAACAACACCTGCTTATCCCAGGTCCTTGAGAAGGACTCCGTAGGTGGACAAATGGCAAATCCAGTCTAAACAACTGACTGACTGTGTGATCAACCATAAAAGACGCAGAGATGAATTAGATGTTATGAAGACTTGTACATGTTCCAAATTCACCATGTCTAGAATTTTGCAATGCCAAAACAATTAAACCATAATATGATTTGACACAATGGCCCAATTTACACACACACACACACACACACACACACACACACACACACACACACACACTTGGTTTGATTGTTTGATTATGTGCCATCAACTTTTAACAACCACATAGATAGTTTTTCTTCATGATGATTTCTCCCTAACCTAGTCTTTCTCGTCTTCCAACAGTGCACCCATCGCTACTGTAACTGAGTCCATCCAACCTCCTGCTCGTCATCCTCTTATTCTCTTTCCTTCTACTTTTCCCAGCATTACAGCCTTCTTCAGAGAGTTGGGACTTCACATAATGTGTCCGAAGTAGGATAATTTGAGACTGGTCATCTGTGCCTTGAGTGAGAACTCTGGGTTGACTTGTTTAATGATTCACTGGTTTGTTTTCTTCAGTGTCCATGTTAACCTCAGGAATCATCTTCAACACCAAAGTTCAAAAGCATTCATACTCTTTCTATCTTACCTTTTCTAAGTCCAGTTCACAAGCATGCACACGTGCATAAAATACAAAGACAGAACATGCCAAGCCAAGAGCTTTTGCACCAGAGACAAATTCCTTGTGTGTCTAATAATCTGATCTGTAATTTGCAGATCAGTCACTAAGCATTAGTATTCGTAAAATAAATGTGGGAAGGAGGTTTTCCTTAAGGTTCATTTCTCTGGTATCTTTGATGGCCACTAAATAAAGTTGAATTATTCATCTCAAAACATTCTGTTCGATGTATTAAAATGAGAATACATTGCTATACAGTATCGATGTGAGTGAGTGAGCAAATGTCTATGTGATACGAACAATAACAGTGATGTTAAAATTTATTTGAAAATGACACTTCCCTCCCACATTCCTAAGAACATAAATAAACTGAAAAGTGGACTATAAGCAGAATCATTTATAGCTGTTTAGTCAAATTAACCGTAACAACATGAAGGGTGTGTTTCAGAAGGGTGAAATAGTATTCCAGCATGGCACTTCAATGTTTTCATGCTTGCTTCAAAAGAAGATTGTTTTGTTATTTAACAAGCAGTCATCATTTCATGGAGTGGAGAGTTCCATATGATGGCATTATGTTAAAAATCTCTCACCTAGATAGCTAACAAAAATGTTGCAATATAAAGTGTTCCTCTTGACGGTTCCACTCCACATCTATGCCCTCTTCTTGGACCTTATATATATTTTTGCCACAAATCCCATTTTCCCCTACTGCTCCTTAGAGTTAGCATTCAATGCTCAATGAACGAATTCATTCCAATATTTACTTTTTCTGAAAGACCTCATTTCTTCAGAGAATTTTCTTTTCCTTCTTTCCATCCTTCAAGAGCCGTGGTGACCCAGTGGTCAGAATGTAGTACTTCAGACTAACTCTGCCCATAGCCACAAGTTCAATCCTGACCAGCTCAAGGTTGACTCAGCCTTCCATCCTTCCGAGGTTGGTAAAATGAGGACCCAAATTGTTGGTGGCAATGTGCTGACTCTATAAATTGCTTAGAGAGTATTGTAAAGCACCGCTGTGAATCGGTATATAAATCTAAGTGCTATTGCTATCCTCCCTTTGATTTTATGTTTTATTTTAATTTTTTTTTGTACTTCGTAAAAATAGCACCTGGAGAACTGAATCTAGTGTTAATATCTATAACGGTCATATGATTATGGATATTGGAAGCTCTTGCAAGTGATTTTCACTCATGTTTATTTCTCTCAGCAGATCGGGATCTCAAAAACATATGAAGCCACACAAGTGATTGTTAATCTCATTTTCTCCCTGCCACAAAAAAGTAAATAAATAACAACACCTATTTTTAATACAGTCCTCCATAAACTATATGCAAATATTTAATCTGGAAAAATCCATAGAAATTTCCTTTCCGTGAGAAAGTGCTTTTTTAATCTCCTTTTGTTTCTGTATTTGGGAGTTGTGATAATTTGGAACTTATTCCTTACTGTTGTCAATGTTGAGTAATAACATTAATTGTTAATTATAATAATAAGATAATCAATCAATTGACAAGGGATCCTGGAGAGATTCATTTTGACTGGCTTGTTTTTCAGTTACTCAACTTTCCTTTTCTCTGTAAGTTTCCTATCTAAGTAGAGAAAGCCTGATATGAGTTCTATTTTCATGGTTTCTTCCCTAGAGACTGAATAATAGAGGCCTGCGAGATTTCAGGCCACTGGAGAAATATTTTTGCCATGAAAGATACAGAAGCCACCTTGGTCACCTCCTATCTCAGGAAAACAAGAGAGAATGGAAATGACATCTTTGTACTTTGTGAAAACGAATAAGAACAGTTGTAAAATGCAAAATGAATGTAAAGCTACCTCCAAAGCATTGATAGTAAGTTGGCTTAGAGAAAGTATAGGTTTGTTTTAACTATGGATGAGTTTCACATCCTTGAAAGAGCAAATATGGTGCCTGAATGCCTTCATTGCTCAATGTCCAACTATCCATCACCTAGGACAGGGTCCCCAACCCCCAAGCTGCGTTCCACTACCAGGCTGTGCTTATTCACAACTGGGCCATGCAAGCGGCGGGCTGAAGGGCCGGTGCGTGCATGCAGCTGTACTTGTGTGAGTGGCGGGCCGTTGCCCATGCACACATGTGCGCAGCTGAACATGCAGAAGTTGAGCTGCATGCACCTGCACGCCAACTCATTGCTCACGCAAGTTGACCTGGTGCGTCACCAGCCCACCACTCACATTGCCCAGTTCCCATCTGCTCCCAACGCCAGGCCACCAAGCCACAAAAGTTGGGAACCGCTGACCTGGGAGATTCTCTGTATGGGGAAGTTGGGACACAGTAATATTCTTGTAATCTCCCAGGTAGACTATTGCAATGGTCTTTTTATGGATAACA